TTAGGCTAATTTTGTTTATTCTAGATTTTGCAGAAATGGGTACATGTATGCCCATATGTACTTCTTTTGAGTCTTCTTTATTCAGTTCTGCTCAATGTTTCTGAAATTATTCATATTATGATATGAATCAGTAACACATTACTTTCCATTCCTGACTCAATTCTCAACATATCCATAACACAGTTACAGCCACAGACACACAGATTTCACAACTGACACACACTCATTCAGGGATCCTCACAGATGTTTACATAAACAATGAAACACAGAGACACAGCACAGATTTATGCGCATGACTTAATTACAGACACAGAATTCAGACACAGATGCAGAAGATGTAACCAAAGGAAAACATGCAGCCCACACTCAGACATCCAGCCTGCAAGACAGCCACACAACCTTGGCTCTACATTGTTTTGGTTTATGTACAGCGAGACAGGATAGTCCCTGTCATGACCTGCCCTAACTGAGCTCATCAAAGGGGGCTGTGTTCTGTGTTTCAAACCCAGTGCTAAATAGCTACACCTTCCGGAGTCTTTTGGAGGACAGTGCTGGGGAGCATAAGATGTGAGACAGTAGCCAAGGTAGGATAGATATGGGGTCCAAGGTAAAGGTTTGAGACTGGGACCTTGTCAAGGTGCATTTGCTCTTGGTGATGCATGGGGCTAAGCAGAGCTCAAGGATAAGAGAGGAGAGCTGTTTTCCCCAGTCCCCTCCCCTGTGTCAGGATGGGCTAGTGCTCTGTCCCATTAATGACACAGTCAGGATCTCACACAGTATTGTTATCACTGTCAGTGCATTAAGTGACCATGCACCTGGGGAGGTTGGACTGTGAACGGGATCCCTTGGCTAGGCCTATCTTCTGAGTAGTCCCTGCCCTACCCCCATCCTACTCTGTGCAAAACTGAACATGGGCAGAGCTCTCTGTAGACTTTTCTCCCTCTGGAGTCTCCAGGTCTAACTTACTCTTTCTCATGACTCCCTTGCAGATCTAAGTCACCCTGACCCTTTCCTCTGCCTGACTAGAGAGGACTTTTCTTTTTTTCTAACATTTTTAAAGAATTTTTAAATTTCATTTATTATTATGATTATTATTTCTAATTTGCTACAGGACACATAGAGAGGATTTTTTATCTGAATGGCATGTGGGCTAATTTAGGTGGGGAAGAGGCTCATGCATGGTAAGGGGGTAGGGAACTGTCCATTGTGATGCATCTGGAGCAGCAAGGGCATCTGTTTCTTCAGAATGAGTATAAAGCCTTTGAGTTGCTATTGCAGAAAGCAAACTGGAGAATATTTGGGGGAAAGCTGAACTCACCTCTCCCTACAACCACATGATATGTCCTGCTAGTCTGCTGACCTGTTGATACACAGAACTGCCCCTGAACACTCCTCCCAAACTCTGGTACATTGACTCCAGTACTTTCCCCTAGTGCCCTTCTCCACCTCTTTCCAGATGCCCGATACACCCGTTCTTGCTACACCCCAGCCCTTTTCAATTCCTGATTAGGACTCACCCCATTCCCTCCACACCTCCAACCCCAGCCCCTCAACCTCCCCCACCTCCCCCTCAGCAACTTCAGGACATAGAGAGGATCAAGACATAGACATGTGGAATCTATTCTGTGTCCTCCTGTTCTTTGTTCCCATCACTCAAACATTAATGTGAGTAAACAGGGTAGGGACAGGCTCATGGACTGGGTGCTCCTTTGGGGCAGCTGGCACAAGAGAGTGCATGAACAGAGCCTGGCCATGGTGAACTCTCTGCCTTAGACCTTAGTCTCCAAGGTCTACTGTAGGCCCATCCTCTACTCGACACCATGACGCAGAGAACTGTCTCTCAAAGCTCCACAGAAATCACTAGGCTCAGCACTTAATTCTAGGATGGCATAGCACCAACAAAACCTTATCTAGAAATTGTTCCAACAGTCCAGAATGCTCCCTCCTGCCCCACTCAGTTAAGACCACTCAAAGAGCAACCAAGCCCTGCTCCAGCACCAGAGTGTCTGCTTTGTTTTCAGCTATGTGCACCCTGTGTGCTTGGGGGTGTAAGTGGTTTCCTAAGTAAACACTGACAGACAGACAAGATGGCAAAAGTTTTATTCGGGAAAACATCAAAGGAAAGTTAAAACAGGGAAGGGGTAGGATCAGGCAGGGACATGTGCCTGTGACACCTTTTCCAATATTCAGCTACAACTGTGGTTTACAGACGCTCAGGGTCCTCTGGATGTCACACAGGTAGTTCTGCAAAGCAAAAGGACTTTGGTTCATTCTCATGTGCCTTTGTATTTTCTCTCATGCGTGTTTACCCGTGTGGCTGCACGTGAGCTTACATCACGTGAATAACGGTCTCTCCCCAGACAGAGCTCTGACTGTACCTGTGTAAGTATCCTCTTGAAGCCTTTCCTTTCTTTATGTGGTAGGATCTGACTTCCAATGGTAAGGGAGAAACTGCTTTATCTTTAGAAGACGGGCCTGCCAGTCTCTGGGTCCAATCTGATCACTCTTAAGTTTGTTTAATGTACTGCAATGGACATCCTTAGATAATCTATGGGCAAATGTTTTCACTTACACTGTGAGAAGGCAGGTGCCCACTGAGTTCTGGCCATTGTGGGAGGTATTTTCCCACTATGCTTCCTCCTCTTTGCCTCATGACATTGTGAGCCAATAATCAGTATTTACATGTCATGGGCAACAGAACTGAGGCTCAGATCAGGCCCCATGAATTGTTGGCATCGACACTGAGATGGCAGAATATAGGAAAACAATGGGCGAGTGCCTGTGTGCAGCTGAGACAGGGAGGTAAGGGGAGAATGTGGGACTGTGGGAAAAGACAGTCAGCACCTCAGGAGCAGCCTTGACCTCCCCACTGGTGTTGGCCTCATGCCAGAGTCCAGGGACACTGCTCTGTCAGACTAGACCTGTCCTTGCTTTGAATGTCACCAGAGCATAAAGACAGAAAGACAGATTCTCCTGGCAAATCCACATGAAATTTCTCCCAACGTTCTGGACTCCTTCCACACAGATCCAGAAGCATCGCACATCAGAGGGACCCAACCATCTATACTTCAAATTACAGGTGCAGGGTTGTAGACTAAACACTTGACTTAGATTAGGGGTGGGGGGATATTCTCGACCCACACTTGATCATCTGGATTGTATCCCAGTGACTTTGAATGGGTCTGACGCTGCCTCGGTGATTCTTGCCCGAGAGGCCTGGTCTGCCAGGGAGGCTTTCCAGCTCCTTCCCAGGTCTCAGATCTTCTCTTTAGATCTCAAATGTAGATCTCCAGGTGTCACTGAGGCCAACACATGCCCATCTTCCTCCTGATTAATACCAGGACATTCGGTCCCCCACATTGTACTCTGGGGCCTGCCCTCCCTAAATGCTTCTATTATTGGTGACCCCAAGCTCTGTGACACTTTAGGTGTGTCACACCTAGGACATCTGTAGCTCTAGAAGTCAGGACGTGTCTAATCCCTCACAGGGCTGGCACATATGGCCATTGATCCCTGCATATGTACAAAACTGCTATTTCTTGAATACAGAACCTATTTACTCATCTGTAAGAGAAGAGCCACTGGTCACCTCATGCTGGGAAGAAGACATAGTCCATGCTGTCCTAAGAAACCTGAGGAGAGCTACAGTGTGTTCAGCCAGCTTGATTACAAATCCCTGCAGCACCATCTGGGATATCTGCATGGACTCAACATTTTCTGCCCTGAGTGTGGAAATAACTAAGAGCCACACATCCTAATTTTCTTAACTGACTCCAGAGATGACAATGCCTTCCAAGTCAGCTCACTGGTCTCAGATCGTTTTACCTTGTGGTGGACAGGGTGGTGGTGAATTTGGCGGCAGTGGCCCAGGACGCATATATGATGAAAAATGGCCCTGCTTGGGGTAGGGCATCCGGGGACGTCCTGGGAAAGGAGGGGGCCCTTTGCCAGCCATGTTGACCTGCAGAGAAGAAGAAGGTCAA